TTGTCATTGCAACGTTTAACGTTCCCATTTACATGATGTTACTTTTCAAAGATTGGATTGAGAAGTAGTAGTGATCATTGACATGAAGTGTTGGACCGTGGAAACTATGATCTATAGAATTTTGGGGTCTCTAGGTGGAAAAATCTTGTTGTATTATTAGGATGTTGAGATGGAAAAGAAGAATACTTTATTCGATATGGTTTTAACTTTTACCATATACTTATTGTTCTTTATTAGGACATGATGCAACATAGAAAGAAATGAAACTGAAAATATTACAGAAGCAACGTCACTGAACAAACCAAAAACAGGTCTTCTTCTGTCAAAGTGAAACCAAGCAAAACCCTTCAACCATCTTCAGTTTCTTGCAGAATCAGCATCTCTTGTGCTGTGTGTTCAGACACAGTTTTAACTCCGGCTTGATTGGCAGATAAGATCTCTTGCTCTCTCTATGTGATGCAGTTACCCATGAAGCAAACCAAAAAATAAAACCTAAAAGGTTGATCCATTAGGTTAAAAAACAACATGAATGTAAAAGGTTTGCGTCAGCACACATAACAAAGAGAGAACTTAAGTTTCTTGTAGAAATGGCCAAGCAGCCAAAGAAGAGCTTCAACAACAAGAGACATGGAGTTATCTATAGATATATGTATATGTATATATAGCATTTTCGGATCATATAATTAAATGATGAGAGTCATCTCATTACTCATCGCCATGGATGTACCAGCAGCAAAGCATGGTAGCACAACGACGAAGAATGTAGAGACGAGCACGTTGCTCCTTCACCAAGGAAGCACATTTGCTTGTAAATGTGTGACCTTTATTTAACTTACTCTTTAACTCGGCCATTAAAACAATCAAGTTGTTGGTTTTAGCTATTTATAAAGTAAAGAGATAAAACAGAATGTATTGAAACTTTTGGTGTAGAATGTAAGGAACAAAAGAAAAGAAAAAAACCCTTTGTGGGTGAAAGAAGAGAGAGAGAGAGAGAGGGAGTTGTGAAGAAATGTAAAAGGAATGAAAAGAGTATAAATAGAGCGAAGGAAGAAGAGAAATCTAGGGAGAAAAAGGTGAATTGGATATGAAGGAAAGAAGAAACAGATGAACATGGTCTGAGTTTTGGTTCATTTATTGACATTGGGATCTGCATTGGATCAATCTTTTTGATTCTCCAAGGAAGTGTAGTTTCATGGAATCATCAAACATCACTACTTTAGTATATACTCCCTCTGTTCCTAATTAGATGATGTTTTAGTACAAAACATACAGATTAAAAAAAAAATATATTCCTTCCATTTTTTAATAGAAGATATTTTGTTTGAATGCACAAAAATTAAGAAACTTATTTTTTAGAAGATAATATTATTAAATAATATAAATTAAACATAAATTAACTAATCATAAATAACATAGTAAAATGTAATTGGTTAACTAGTTTTTAATAAAGCGAAAGTACCTTAAAAATATCAAAACATCTTATATTTTGAAACATCAAAACTTCTCCAAATGATATTGCCAATGTTGTCAATAATGGCCTTATCAGTCCAAATATGCCCCTGGAATCTCATACAACAGCAGCTCCTACTCGTTCCACTCTTAATCTCAGTGGGTTTTCTCTTAAGTAAGTTCAGAGTCTTGCCCATGCCAATGTCAACAAAGCTTCAGCTTCTCATTCATCCTCTTCCATAACTGAACATGGTATAATGGCTTGTAATGCGACTGCAGGTACCATCTCATTCCCTTCTTCAAAACTTTGTTTTACCAAACAAAATCTCATCTATCAAAGCCATTATCTTTCATCCCTTTCAACTATGATTTCCTCTGATTCTTAGATAGTAGATAGTGGGGCTACGAGTCATGTCTTTCCTAGTTTATCCTTGTTTACTGAGTTTAAAACAGTTGAAAATTGACAGTTACTCTTCCAAATGGCATCACCATTCCAATCATGCATATAAGCATTGTGAAACTTTCGTCTAAGTTGTCATTTCATCATGTTTTACATATTCCCTCTTTCAATTTTAATCAGATCAGTGTTAGTTCTATGCTTGCTTATAGTCAATTGTTCAGCTCATTTCTTTCTTGATTATTGTATAATTCAGGACCTTCCTCTGGGCTCGATGATTGGGACGTGTAACTTCTTTCAAAACCTTTATGTTTTCACGCAAGCTGATTTGTGTTCTTCTTCATCATTGTCATTCTGTGGATCCTTGGTTGCTGATGGAGATCTTTGGCATCATCGCCTTGGACGCCTGTCTTTAGCCAAGTTACAGAGCATGTCTTTGTCTCTTTCTTTACCTAAACTGGAATCATCTTTTCACTGTCATGTTTGTCCACTTGCTAAACAACGTCGTCTTCCTTATGTTTCACATAATAACTTTTGTTCTACAACTTTTGATATGTACACTTGGATGTTTGGGGTCCATTTTCTACTGAAACTATAGAAGGTTTTCGATATTTTCTCACAATAGTTGATGATGTAACTCTTGTTACTTGGATTTATTTGTTAAAAACAAAAAAAAACTGTTCAGATTGTCTTTCCGTATTTCCTGCAACTTATTGAAACACAATACAACTCAACTGTTAAAACTATAAGGTCTGATAATGCTCATGAATTGAAGTTTCCTGATATTGTTGCTAAGACAGGCATGTTTCACTATTTTCGTGTGTTGATATTCCACAACAGAACTTAGTAGTTGAAAGAAAACATCAACATATTTTGAACGTTGCTAGAGCTCTATTTTTTCAATCTAATGTACCTATTTCTTTTTGGGGTGACTATGTGCAAACTGCAGTTCATTTAATAAATTGTTTACCCTCTCCTTTGCTTGGCGATGTTTCCCCATATGAAAAGTTACTTAAGAAACCTCCTGATTTTAAGTCTTTATGAGTGTTTGGATGCTTATGTTATGTCTACCTATCTCAAGTTCCGAACAAATTTTTTTCCACGAGCAAAACCATCTGTTTTTCTTGATTATCCATCTGGATATAAGGGGTATAAGGTCTTAGATCTTGAAACAAATGTGATATCTATTACTAGAAACTTAGTCTTTCATGAAACTGGTTTTCCTTTCAAGGATACTTCTCTGTTTCCACCTTCGTCTGATGATTTGTTTCCTAATATTATTCTTCCTTTACCTATCTCTAACTTGTCTGTTGATACTCCTGATATATGTATGCATCTCATTCTTCTGTGTTACCTGCGAATCATGTTATTCGTCTTCATAAATGTCTCTATGGACTGAAACATGCTTCATGTCAATGGTATCATCGCCTATCTTATGTCCTACTTGCTGATGGTTTTATTCAGTCTGGCTCTGATAATACACTCTTTTTCAAGATGGTGGGACATTCTTTCATTGCCTTGCTTGTCTATGTTGATGATATTTCTATCACAAGCAATGATGATGCAGCTGTGGTTTCTGTTAAAAAGATTTTACAACATGAATTCACTATTAAAGACTTTGGACCACTCAAGTACTTTCTTGGTTTTGAGATTGCACGCAACAAGACTGGAATCTCTATTTTCAACGTAAGTATGCTCTTGGTATCTTGCAAGACACGAGTCTTCTTGCTTGTAAACCTAGTAGTAATCCCATGGATCCTACTGTGACTCTGAGTTCTGAATCTGGTGTTCCTTTGCCATCCGCTACACCATACAGTGAACTCATTGGTCGTCTCCCTTACCTCACCATTACATGCCTTAACATCATATTCGCTGTACATAAGCTTAGTCAGTTCCTTGCTAAGCTTATTGATGTTCATCTTCAGGCTGCCCATCGTGTTTTGAGGTACTTGAATTCTAACCCAGGTCAAGGACTTTTTTACTTTGGCACAACGGATCTTTGCCTCAATGCTTTCTATGATGCTGACTAGGGTAATTGTCTTGACTCTCGACGTTCTGTTTCGGGCTATTGTGTTTAATTGGGCACTAGCTTGATTCACTGGAAATCTAAGAAGCAACGTGCGGTTAGTCGTACCAGTGCTGAGGCTGAATACCGCTCCATGGATGATACAACTTGTGAATTGTTGTGGTTGGATCAGCTGCTACATGCATTTCTTATCAAGCCATCTACTTCTGCTAAGCTTTATTGTGACAACAAATCTGCTTTGTATACTGCTTCCAATCTTGTATTCCATGAACGGCCGAAGCATGTGGAATAGGATTGTCATGTGTTCATGATAGGCTGAAGAATGGTTTCTTGAAAACCTTCCACGTTGGTACACATGATCAACATGCTGACATTCTTACAAAGCCATTGCTTTGACTTTGTTCCATTATCTCTTCTCCAAAATGCCTATTTCAAGCCTCTATCTTCCTCCTCTTCCTTCGAAGACCTTTAATAGTGTTCTTCCTCCACTCCTAGATCTAGATTGAGGCTTAAGGGGGGGCGTATTACGATATACACATATATATTTATCAGTGTATATTTTTACCGTGTATTTACTGCATAGTATATATACTTTTCATGTACATATTTTTATGGTTAATGTGAGATTGATAGAGTTCATTACAGTCTCTCTCCTTTCTGTTTCTTTCTTATTCAAATTCAGCTCTATTGCTGTGATATGAGGTGAGTGAAAATGATGAATTTTTTTTGTGGACGTAATATTAATTTTGTTCCGATGATTTTTTTTTTAGGTTTTGGTTTGAAAAAAAAAAAGGTTTTGGTTTGGTTTTAATTGTTTAAATTTTCTTTTCTATTTTTTAATACTCGCACCTGTTCCTATGTTTTTCTAATCAAAGCTAATTTTTTTTCTTAAGAAAAATGAAATTCAGTTTTTATTACAAATTTACAATTGAAACCAGTTGACGTTGACTTGGCTATAATTTTGAGGCTTTATATGGGCTTCCTTTTAAGCCCATTTTGTAATTAACAGGCCCACGCTTATCGCAACTATAAGTCTACTCTTACGTCTCTCGGATTCATTCTCTCGTCTCTTCGCTCGTGTTTAAAGCCACCGCATTAACCCTAGCTTTGTGGATTCGATTCGTCATCATGGATCAACTGCCCGAACCAGTTACCTACGTCTGCGGAGGTAATCATCTCTGGAAACCTTCATCGAACCTTTGAATCGGAACTTAATAACACATAGGAGAAGAGATTTGTTTAAAAAAAAAGACATACCTCTTTTAAGAAGCCTTATGAACCCTAATCTTTTTTTTTATTAATAATAGGTGTAGTTAGGAGGCGTAATCTGATATTTCAATACTTTTCTGTTTTGTTTTGATGTTGGGACCTTTTGAGGAGGAGCTCTGCTTTTTTTGCTCAAATCAAAGCTTCTCCCAAACAGTCTCTCAGACATAATACAATTAAAACCGAAAAAAAAATAGATAGAAGAAGTTAGCTTTGGTTTTAGTTATCATGTTTGTCTGAATGATTTTGGGGTTTTTGAAGATTGTGGACAAGAGAACACTTTGAAGTCTGGAGATGTGATTCAATGCAGAGAGTGTGGCTACCGTATTCTATACAAGAAGCGTACCCGTAGAGGTGAATCTTCTTACCTCTATCCTTTTGTGTAGTAGTGATTCTAGGTCTCTTTTGGTCTTGTTCTTATTTTATGAGATTATATGCAATAGGGATCAAGTTTGTAAATACATTCCTATCTAGTTTGCAGTTGTAATCCATCACTTCACGCCTAATTATGTGGTCATGATTCTCTTGCAGTTGTTCAATATGAAGCTCGCTGAGAACCACACAACCCCTAATGATGATTCCAAGTCTGCTTAAATTGCATAAAGACCTTTCCTGCATCTGTTTGTAATATATCTCGACTAGAAATTCTGTTTCTCTTTTGGCTGTGGTTTGATTTTATTACAAAAAAACACTGTTATGTCTCTTTACCTTTATGGTGATGAAAAATCATATTCTAATGGATTCACATTGGTAGAATCCAGTATTGGCTATTTCTACTGATATAAAGTTTCAGAGACATATCATAGTGTGTCAATGCTCCAAATTTGCTGAATTGTCTAGAGTAAGAAAATGAAACCACTACAGGGAAACTTGCAAAATGCTTCAGAGTAAATAGCCAAAGAAACCAAATCAAGTCAACCTTCAAATGTATTACATCAAATCATCCCTGAACTGTATTACCTTGTTTTGTTTTAATTTCAATGTAGTACACAATGCAACACGTTGATAAATATAATGATAATGATACTAATGGTGATGATGATATATATATAAGCACATATCTGGAGTCTAACATCGAAAAGAAGAAAATGAAACAGAGCCAAAGTTAACTTGCCGGCTACCAATATCGGTTTTCAGATTCATCGGCAAGTCATCTTTGGCTCAATATCATTCTCTATTTTCCCATGCAAGATTCTCTGATACAATGAGAAACTCTCCTCCATCATCATTATTTTTTCTCTACCTCTTCTTATCTTGGGCTCTTGTCATGGTAAAGCTCTTACCCATGATGAAGGTATTTATAGGCAGGATAATGATATGTAGATAGATATCTGGAGCCTGACATCGAAACGAAGAGAAGGAAACAGAGCCAGTCAACTTGCCGGTAGACAATATAGTTTTAGGTTCGTTGATAAAGGCGGCAAGTCATCTTTGGCTCAATATCATTCTCTATTTTTCCATGCAAGACTCTCTGATACAGTGAGAAACTCTAATCATCACCATCACTATTTTTCTTTATCTTGTGATCTTGTCGTGGTAAGCTCTTACTCTTGATGAAGGATTTATAGGCATATGTAAGAACGATTTTGTTAACTAATTTGATATTTAATATGCAAATATTCTTCTTAGAAGACAAAAAAATTCTTATTCGAACAGTCTTATCCATGCATGGTTTTAGACTTTAGTGCATGCAAGCAAAAAAAACAAAAGGAATTTTGATCATAACTATTGAAGAATATAACTACTTTAAAGATTGGTTGACCTCAACTATCAAATTCGATTTCAGATTTTCTGTGAATAATTAATATGCGTACCTCACTAGTGACTGACTAGTCACACTACTCCAAACTCCAAAGGCATCGTAAGAAATAACTTTGCCGTATCTATCTGAGGATTGGACATTTCGTCTAAAAATGTGGTTGATTGACAACAAGTAAGTCATCGATCGTCAAACAAAGATTGAAAGTTTCTTTATAATATTTATGTTTGAAGAACTGCAAATACCTTTTTTCAAAAAAAAGAAAGAACTGCAAATACTTTCATTTTGTGTGTGTGTGGAGAAAATGGATTATAAATAGAAATTTCGAGATTCATTTAAGGTGAGGATGTATTTTTTTTGGATATTCATGATTTGCCAAAGCACATTAATATGTTATACACAACTGTTAATCAAGATAACTCTGCCCACTAATCACTATACTTTCTAGTGCTGGGCAAAAAACCCGGATCCGAAGAACCGAACCGAACCCAATCTAAAAAAGTAGTAGTGAACCCGAACCAAAATTGATTCAATATCCGAATGGATTCAAAATTTTGATATTTAAACCGAAACTGAACCCGACCCGAACCGAAGTATTTCGGGTACCTAAATATATCTGAAAGAGATTATATACATATATATATATATTAAGTAGTTTTAGATTTAATGTATATAAAAAAATCAATATATATATAAATCAATATACCTATATATATTAATTATTTTAGATTTAATGTATATAAAAAATCAATATATATATATATAAATACTTTAAAGTTGTTCAAAATACTTGTAAATATATGTAAATAGTCAAATATACATGTCTAAAATTACTAAAGTTCATTCAAAACATCAAAAATACTTAAAAAAATTATTGATTCACAATCTAAATATTCAAATCAAACTAATTTATATGTTAATTTTAGGTATTTTGATTATGTTATTCAATTATTTGTAATATATTATTTAGTTTATAGATTTTTAGAAATTTGAAGTATATAATCAATTTTAAAAATTTAAAAATAATTTAAATGGTTATTCGAATCCGAACCGAACCCGAACAAAAATTTAGAAATATTCGAATGGGACTAAAATTTGTAAACCCAAAACCCTACAACCAGAATATATCCAAACCAAATCCGAATGGGTGACACCCACCCTTGATACTTTCGATTTGTTAAGCACACCTACCCTGTGGTGGTCCTTATCGATAAGTGTATAAAACAATCTAAATTAGATTATCATGTGTATAGGAACGTAATGAACTTTCAAGGAGAATTTAAGTTTCAGTTTTCGTTGTTTTCAGCCAATCTAAAAGCAGCAAGTAATCAAATAGTTTGTCACTAGACCATGTTTATCAGGGTTTCTTAACCTGGTTCTTAGCTTAATTAAGATTTAAAAAAAAAATGAAAATCCCCCTATACATTAAAAGAGAAGTCACTTTGACACGTGGCACTCACACAACTCTTCTCAGAAGAATTCTAGCGATTCTATTGGTTGATTTTTTATAATTTATTTTTTGATTTATTTTTACCATCGACACTACTAAAAATGAAATTCATTTAAATACTTACCTTTTGTGTTTTCTCGATTTAAAGAATATCCTTTTGCGATCCTTTCTCTGTTTAATTCATTAAATACGCATTAAATATTTTAGCTCGTCACATTTAAGAAAAACATGTAGCATTATGTCTTCTGAAATATATATATGAATAAATTATATTTGTATTTATAAAATATAATTTTGTCTTTCAACATGCGATAATATATTTTCATAAACCTAAATTGTATGTGATTTCTTATCCTGGTAAGAAAAACATACACATACATTTTATACTAAAATATGTTAAAAACATATTGTTAGTAATAACTGTTAAAAACATATGTTAAATCACTAAAATGACTTCTTAGTAATAATTACTTATCCTTTATATAAATAGATTGTTAGAAAAACACACACATACATTTTATACTAAAATATGTTAAAAATTCACTAACATATAATTATTTATTAAAATGATTAATAGAATATAATTATTTATTAATAAATTATATTTGTTTATTAAATATTTACCCACCAAAAAGCCGCATTCAATTAAAAATTATTTAAATTAATCGTGGCTAAAATCTTACCTTATTACAATATTTGATTATACATTTCTTGCGCATGTAAACGTATCTAATTTATTTGATTATTAAATTTATCAAATTTGTTAATCCCTTTTAATGACTTACCTTGCACAAGTTGTAACTTTCTTTAATCTATTTTAATTAATTTTTAAATCTATCAAATATAATAATTCATATTAAATGTCTTACTTTATTTAAAAACTACATTACTTGCACAATAATGAAATTAAGCCAAGTATATTATTTGGTCGATCACTAATAATTTACTAACCTTACAATAATTAATACATGTATTAATTAATTTTCCTTATTAGATATTACTTGCGCAAGAATATAAATTAGTAAAATATGTATTAATAAATTTCCTTATTACAAATACGGAAAACAATTCACTCTTGATATCATATTGATTACATTGTTTAGTGCGATTTATCGATTTGTATCTAATTAGGATGTTTGTTATTATTAACTTACCTTATTAATATTGAATATACATTCTAATATATAGTTTCTATATACAGTTTCTCATATGATTAATCGTATAGAATATATAATATTCTCAATAATTTATTAGAGAATGTTATATTTATTAGCTTATCATGCAAGCTAAATCATTGAGAAACGTCCACCAATTTACTATATATAAGACATTCACAGTAGGAGAAACGAAGCCACTAAACTTTTTATTCTGAACTTTTTTATGTTGATACTGTTTTGTTATTTTATATCATTAAGCTTTTATATATACATATTTCATCAGAGCTGACTTTTCTTTTGGTTTATATGCAGATGCCCTATTATAACGATTTCACCACGATGCATGTAAATTTTTTTATCTTTCTATATGATTTGATAAATCATAGATCTATTTGAATTCTAATTCTTACTTTTTTAAATATGTTCATAGGTATTGTCTTTCTATTTAATGATTGTTTGTTAGAGCTTAGAAGGAGAAGAATGCTTTCATATGTATTTTTCTATTGGTTTTTTAATTTACCATTTTAGTTTATATGCGCAGACCAACGATTATGACGTTTCCTCTTGTGGATCCATATGTACTTAAATCTTTCTTCACATTCATGTTATTCAGAGACATGAACATTACAAATGATCATATCATCCAAAACACGTAAACTACAATGTAAGTTTCATGCTTTGTTACTTTCTCTATGATTTTTCAAATAATTATTTGCTTATACACTAAAGAAAAAAAATCTTTAATCAATATTTTATTATAAAAGTTAGTATAGATTTTTATACATTTTATCAACTTTGTACTCAAATATGATTTTATACAATTTATTATATTATAAAATGTATATCCTATAAATTCATATATGTAAACTATATAGTTCTTTTTTGTCATCATAAACTATATAGTTCTTTGTCAATTATAATATAAATTTATACAATTTATCACATAATAAATTATGTATATAATTCAGAGTTAGAATATGATATGTGTTACATTTTTGTATATATTTCTAATACTAATGTTAGAATTAAATCGGTTATATACAAATTTCTATATTAAACAAAAGTGATAAAACATAATTATTATATATTTCTATAGATTTACAATATATCAAAATCAAAACTATTTATTATTCTTTAATTTTATAACCATATTATAGTATTAGGAAATATATACCTTGTTGGTAGGCTTTTAATTAGTTAATTCGTTTATTAATAACTTGCCTTATTT